CAGAAGGAGCTNGAAAGCGAGGAGAAGCTCAAGGCAGCGGAGGCACAGGCAGCAGAGGCTCGCGATGCGCTGCAGAAGGAGCTTGAGAGCGTGAAGCTTGAAGGCGAGGAGAAGCTCAAGGCAAAGGAGAGCGAATATGAGCAGGCCATCCGTGACTATGCCGCCCAGGTCGAGAAGCTACAGGCTTCCGTCTCCGACAAGGCAGAGTCAGACACTGCGGTGGCAGATTTGCAATCCAAGTATGAGGCGACTGTTCAAAACCTGCAGCAGCAGGTTGACGAATTAACTGCTTCGAAAAACGAGCTGGAATCAACCATTGAGTCAGTCAAGGCTGAGCGCGATGCGCTCAACGGCAAGATTGCTGATCTCGAAAATGACATCCTGGAGTTCAAGACCAGGCTCGCAACCTCGGAGACAGCAATCAAGGAGGCTGAGGCCAACGCGGACAGCGACAAGTCGAAGATCCAAAGCGAATTGGCCGCTCGAGACGCGGAGCTTGAAGCTACTCGCAAGAGCGAAGCTGAGCTGCAAAGCACAGTTGGGGAATTGAAAGCTACGCTAACCAGCAAGGATGAAGAGGTCTCCAGCCTGAAGGCCATGCACGACGAGCGCTTGAAGCAAATTTCTCAAGACTACGAAAACGAAATTGAAAGTCTTCGCGGCGATGCCTTCTTCAAGCGGAGATTCGAGGAGTTGGAAAAGCAGCACAACGAGCTTCAGTCATCCGTGGCCCAAGATTCAGAACAACATGCAAAGGCCCTAGCAGAGGCAGAAGAGCGCCATTCGTCAGCCGTCAAGATTCTCGAGACCAAGCAAGCGGAATACGAGGAGGAGCTTGCCAAGATCAGAAACCTTCACGCCGAGGAGTTGACATCTGCCAAGACTAGTGCCGCAGAAGCCCTGGATGCTCATGTCAAGGAGCTTGATGCCATCAAGGCTCGATGCGATGAGCAGCTGCGTCTTGCGTTGGCAGACGGAGAGGCTTCATCTGCCGAATTCTCCAAGTCCCTTCAAATTTCTCATGAGAAGCTGCTGGATGAGCTCAAGAGACAACATGAAGAGGAAAAGCAAGAACTAGTTGCTGCCCATCAATCCAACCTGACAACAGCTACCGGTCAGCACGAGTCAGCTTTGGCCGCGCTGCAGTCGAAGCTTGAAGAGGCCAACGCGCTGCTGGAGAAGACGAAGGCCAACAACATCCAGGAATTGGAGGAGGCCAAGCGTGAATTGCATGGCACACATGCGGCTGAGATTGAGAAGCTCGCCGCTCAGCATACAGACGCAAGCTTCTCGCTCAAGGAAGAAGGGCTCCAGATGAAGCAACAGCTGGACGAGCTGCAAGCTGTGTACAGGCAGATGGAGACTGCTCTAGATGAGTCCAAGGCCAAGAGCGCCAGCCTGGAAGAGCAATTGTCAGCTCAGACTGCCACCACCGGATCCCTCCAGGAGTCTCTGCAAAAGATGCAGGAGCAGCTCGTTGCTGCCCAAGCCGAGGCCGACGAGGCCAACCAACAGCTTGCCCAGGAAAAGATGGAGCGTATGGTTGCGCTGGCCGAGCTGGATGCCGTCAAGAGGCCTCAGGATTCAACGGCTCTCAACAACCTCAAGGCTGAGCTCGCTTCCGTCAGGGCAGAGCTGCAAGCCACCCAGGCTGAGCTGAAGAAGAAGGAAGATGTCGCTCGGAATGACTATAATGACTTGAACGACAGCATGACTACGCTGCTGGAGGAGGCTAACAAGAAGTCGACCGAGTCACAGTTGCAAGTTGAGCAGTTCATGAAGAAGCTCGAGGACGCAGATGACAAGTACGATCAACTGCTGGCCCAGTTCAAGATCAAGAACGCAGAGCTAGCTGAGGCTGAGGTATGTTCTATGCACCCATCCCTTTTCTCACAACTGACCCTAACCATCACGAATAGGCTCAAGCCGCTCTGTACAAATCCAACAGCGGCAGAACCGCCGGCTTAGATGACGCAGCCGAAGGCGACGAAGATCACTCTTCAACAGCATTAGCTTTGGTGCGAGAATCCCTTGAAAATCGCAGCCTTTCCCGTAATCCCTTCTTCACAAACTCGGCTGACGGTGCCTTGATTTAGCTAACCGTTTGAAGTAGCTCAGCAAAGTTAGATTGACGGCGAAGCAAGTCGATACTCTCGATCGGGAGATGAGAGACCGCAACTTACAGTAAGCAGTTTACTACTTGGGGCTCTATTGCACAACCTATGAGAACGGCACGCTGACTATTTTTTTTCTTTGAACAATTCAGACTTCTTAATTCAATCACGGACGTGAAGATGTCTTCTTAAAAGGGCGGGAAATTTACTATACTCTTGTACATCTTAATTAATATTTAGTGGTAATTAACATTGCCTTGTATTGAGCAGTTGAATCAAGACTTGTAAAACAATCTACATTTTATCATGAGTCGCCATGAGAGATCCTGCATCGTGACACGTTAGCAAATATATATCAAAACAACAATAGACTGTAGCCTATAATATTATTGACTTACCGATAAACGTAGTTACCAGGCGGCTACGAACTTGGCAAATATCCTCTGGGACAAGCCATATGGTGGCTCCAAGCTTACGAGCGATGCTGATACTCAACTTGGCGTTCATGTATGCGTCTTCTTCTGTTTGGCCGGGAGTCACCAGGTCATAGTCGACGTAGCTGCTCTTCATGCCGTTCAACACGTCCAAAAGGAAGATACCAGAGCCAATGGCCGGATCCTTGAAAGACCGGATAGATGAGTTGCGACCACCCTTCTTGGACATGTCGTTGGCCCATCGAACCATTTCAGCGTCGGTAATCTCTCTCTTGCCGAGCTTCTGTGCTAATGAGGACAAAGTCACCGTAATGTTCTTTCGCATGAGTTGCCATACGAGTCCCAGCGTCAATGTTCGTTGACCGTCAGTGATATCTGCTCCTTGGATGCCCACAAGAGAAAATCCATTCTGTTTGCCAAGCTCAATGACATAGTTGGTGTTCTCGACGGCCTTGAATCTGAGCATTTCGCCTCCGTGAGCAGGAGCCTTGTTAACATGGCGCCAGTTAACAGAACCGGGGATGACTTTGTCGTATGCCTGCAGAAGCACCGATCCGTCTCTCAAGTCATCAAAGAAGGAGACTACAGCAGGCTGCACATCCAAACTGTTGAGCCATAGGGTGAAGACTCTTGCCTCGCGTTCTCCCTCTGCATCAAAGTCTTCAACCTCCAGCTTCTCCTCTTCCGTGATGGGGTCAAGCGCAGGATGAGTGTTGAAGAGATTGGCCACGAATGCCAAGTTAAGCTTCGGGTTACCCGCAACCAATGATGATGGAGTCAAGAACTTGCGGCATCCAAGCTTGTCAGCTTCCTGCAAAGTTTCCTCAGCTCTCTGCGCGAGATCTCTGGTTTGCAAAGCGGCCCGAGTGCAGCCGTACTCGGATCCAATCTGCGCGAGAAGAACAGTGTAGTTTTCACTGTCCTTCACATCGCTAGAGAAATTTGTAACTCTGAGGGAGAAGGACAAGTCAGTAAATTTATCATGAAAAAAAAGAAGAAGAAGATACGGACCTTCGAGGCCAGTTTGCGGCCTTCAAGTGGTAGTTGAACCAGCGAAGCAGAATCTGCTCCGGGGGCAGTCTCAGGAACTGTTCTAGAGTTTCATCCTCCTCCAGTAGCCGATAGAGCTCAGGGTGCAGCTTAATATCAATTTTACCCAAAAGACCTCGTCGGATGATTTGCCAAATAAGACCCAGGATAAGATGCTCGCGAACTTCGATGATGTCACCAGCTCCAATGTTGACAACGGAGCAGCCGATACCCTTGCAAGACTCAATGACAATGTTGTTGTTCTCGCTCATCTGGAAGGCATTGAGGGTCTTGGTCTTTCGTCCAGGAATGTTCATTACTCGCTCATCGATAGTATCAGGAACGCTATCGTTGATGAGCTTGGCAAGCACCAAACCGTCCTTACATTCATCAAACATTTCGAATGTGTCGGTAGGGAACGGAAGTCGGCTTCCAATATCTGGATCACCGGCCAGCACCGCATTGATATGGCGTGTAAACTCAGTTCGTTCATCTTCGTTGATTGTGTGTGTGGTGTTTGCGTTTGATCCCTGCACTTGGATCTTACCACTCACGCTGCCCTTGGACGCATGGCCGTGGGCAGGTCCAGGTCCAGGCTGAGCCGGAGTAGGGCCTGTAGACATGCGTTTCTGGGCGACCGACCCAGCGCGCAACTTCGCAATAAGCTACCAAAAACATTAGAGAGACTGCAAAGTGAGGCGTGATATGACATAACTGACGCCGACATAGTCCTCCAGCTCCACTCGTCGCGAGGAGTCCAGATCTACCTCTTTCAGGGCCTGTCTAACAACATCGTATGGCTGGTTTTCGCTCTGCTGGGTTGCCTTGATGGCAGTTGCTTCGTCGAGGTAGCCTCGGTCTTCGACGTCTAGGCGCTGGAAGGCATCGGAGAGCTGGAAGATCTCGTTCTGCGGAAACTGAGGAAACTTCCTGCGCAGCTGTTAGATTCACGAATATACAATGACATTCCGTACCAAACGGAGCTCTACATACCTCTGTAGCTTGAGGACGTTCATAATGGACGATGCTGGCGATATTCCACTCTGCAAGATTGAACGTTTTATGTTCGGAATTGAAGGAACCGCGCGGCGCTGAGAGGCAATAGCTATGGTTAGCTAAGGAGGGGGTTACGACAGCGACAGTCGTCAAAACCCCACACAGCCACAGTCTCCCCCCCACGCTAAACTGTTAGCTGCCTATTCAGCTGGAGCTAAATAGCTCAGGGCCATCGTAATACAGAGTACGAGTACAAAGCAGGCACCTGTATTTTACTACTGCTGCCTAGGTATAGGCAGACTCCATTTATATACAGCTAAGAAGCGATTAGGTATGCTTATTTTTCTAGGTACGCATAATGATAAATGATCAAGTTGATGACATGTGATGGTGATTGTGTGATAGTGATTGTGCAGGTTATAAGTCTCCCAGGTTATAAGTCCCCCATGTATTAAAGAAAACAAAAAATAAAACTGTTTTATTACTAGGTAGCTATTAGTTACAACTCCAAAATATCGCAGCCTGTTTCAGGCGCATATTCGAACACCATTATAACTAGCATAAGTTTCTGCCTGGCAATGCCAAGCATCCCATATCCCACAATGAAGCTGTATCACATTCTTGAAAGGGGAAAACACCTGGAAACCCGAGCATTGTACAAAACGATCGATGGGAGAAGAAGACGTAGGTAGAAAGAGAGTAACAAGGCCAAGACTCCAGATACTCAGTCCACTGCCGTAATACGCTTCGACATTTGTGGCCTCTACTACTCAGCAACATCAAGATCGTCATGGGCGGGAAGAGGGCTCTCAGCTGGACAAAAACATCAATATGTAGGTTCAAGAATCTGGAGCAAAGTTACCACGTTACCTTTCCTTTCGTCACCGTTAGTTCCATTCTCCTTTCGGTCACGATCATCGCGCTCATCCTTTGCATCGCGATCACGGTCCCTATACAGGTAATCATGTCAAAACTTCGATTCATCTTGATGAACTTCACAACCTTACCGGTGTTCAGGGCTTCGAGATCGGTCTCGGTCCCTTCGGCTATCACGATCATAGTCTCTGTCGCGATCGCGGCGCTCCTCTTTCCGTGGAGAATAGTCGCGGGTGCTGCGTCGAGGGGATGGTGATCGTCCACGACGAGGAGATCGAGGTCCACGACGGTCACGATCACGACCAGATTCGAAGCGCCACGAGGCTGATGGAGGCGTTCTGGCCCACTAGCAGCGCGTTAATATTGTCCAACGATTCGATTAGATCTGCAAATACATACCTCGATCTTCAATAGGTCGTCTCGGCCAATGCGTTTGTTGTGCATTTCGTGATACGCATCATCGGCATCACGTCGGTCTTCGTATTCGACAAATGCGAACCTGAGAGCGGTCAGCATATCTGAATCTGGCGACAATTAAGGGCCAAAGAAACCACCCACAGTCGACTGGAAGTAGATCGTGGGGCAGGAATATCGCAGCGAACCAGGCGCCCATATCTATCAAACAGACTTAATATTAGCGAATGCCATCACAAGGCAGAAGTGGAAGGCGCAGTCGCCGGGGGTAGCCGTTTCTCGGGCAATCTTCATTGACTGATTTGCCCTGCGAAAGGAGGTGCAATCTAACTATCCATTCAAACAGAGAACAACCTCGAGGCGATGGATGAAACGCATTGGCCGACGCGGCAGGAAAAAGGGAGGAGGTAGGTTCAGGCGTCAGCGGGGGGGAGAGGGTTGCGAGGGCATCGACATCGACGTGGGATCAAATCTGTCCATCGAAAGGAATCCCCCGTTGCGGTATGAGACGAGGCGCGGGCGAGGACGAGGACGAGGGCGAAAGCGAGGGCGAAAGCGTGAGCGTGAGCGTGGCGTGGTTGACATACCGTTCGAATTCGTAGGCAAGGTCGCGGGCGCGGGTGCCGTGGCTGAAGCCTGTGACATATAAGGTAGTGCCGCCGCGAGACATTTTTTATTGTTTGCAAAGAAGAAAGCAATCAATCAATCTGGAGTCGTAATGGATCAAGCAGATGATAAAAGGTGAATGATCCTGGCGTGTGCTCAGTTGACGTTTGCAGATGCTGAGATTAGTTTGAGGTTAGGTAGGGAAAAATACTAGACGGAGATTTAAACCAAGCCAAGCCCAAACAGGTAGGATTATTTAGTAATTAGCACTTCTCCACACTTGTACAAATAATGACGACGACAGTGAAATGGACAAAACACCAAACCATTTATGTGAAGATGTAAAACTATGTATTCACAAGTCATGAAATTTCCATAACAAGAACTGTAAAGTAAATATAATATTTAATATTCAATATATCTATATTTGAATTTGCAACTTGTATATCCTGTGCATGAAATATGCGAGTAATTATTCATCTAGTTAGTCATTATCCTATTCCCTTCATCTTCATCCAATATTATCTACCTTCATTGTCACAATTATATATCATCATCGACCAGTAAGAACAAACTTTCCAGTTTCAACCCTATATTTCCATCCATCACGAGTAAGTGCCGCTCCCACGGCTTGTCGGAGTGGTGAAACGCCCCCAGCACTGTGATGGCCCAGACCAGTTATGATGGTCAGGTTCCGGTGCGATGATTGGCCTTCTCGTGATTCATATCGTGATTCACGTCGTCTTTGCCACCAATCTACAGCTCGTTGTCGAGCAATTCGCACACCATCAAGAACAGACACGCCGTGTAAATCAACTGTCGTGTTAGTACTTTGTTGGTCGACATGTATGTCAGCTGCAGCTGATGTAGCTTCCTGGGCACGTTGTCCAAGTTCGCGAGCCTGTTGTGCATAATAACCTGCCGCCTGTCGATATAGCGGATTTGATGCTCCGCGCCGGTAAAGAGTTCCGGCAGATGCCATAGCGTCTTGTTTCTGTTTATATAAGGCATTTGATGCTTGAAGCGTCCGGGTGAGATCAGTACCGGCTCTTGTCACTGGGGGAGACTTGTGGCGAGCTCCCTTTCTTTCCGTCATAGCATCAACAGCCGCCCCCGCCAACCCTTCTATGTCTTCATGTGGTAGTGGCGTCAACCTGTAACTCAACTCAAGTTTCTGGTTCATCGATCGTTTGCTGAAGTATGTGTTTAATAACGATGCAAGCTCAGCAGAGGAAGTGGACATTGGTCCCGTTATCTGAACAATAACTTCCAAATAAATTTCTGGGACCCTGCGATATCTTTGTTTGAGGTCGCCGGCAGCCTCCTTCTCCGTACTTGTCAATGGCTCGCTGTTTTCTTGCAAGAGGTGTTGATCCAAGATTCCTATTACAGTGCCAACTTTGGAGTTTCCGCTTTCAGCATACATTATGGAAACTTCTTCTGTGGACATGTGTAATCGCTTTGCTATGTAGGTAACAGCTGCTGGGGCTGGAGTGCGTTAGTATCGTATCGGGCATGCGTTGTGCAGTGATCAACTTACTGTTCAATCTGCTTGAATTGCTCACGCTGGTGTTATATCCTGCATCACCAGCCTTGCCAGCAGATTTGGCCCCAGTGTCATGAGCGTCGAGCAACCCATTCGATGAGGGAGCTTGATCACTTGTAGATTGTATGTATTGTAAATTGAGCAGACTATCCAACGCTGCGGCAACGACACCATTTGCGTTAGTCAGGACTTGCCTAATGTCAACACCATCTATTCTAGGGAATAGGCTCTGGAGCTGCAAAATGTCTTTCTCCAAAACTTCAGATTTGGACAACTGTGAATCCGATGAAAGAGTATCAATACTTTCATCATCCGATGTCACGTTTCCCTGGTTCAACTTGGAGGCAGGGGAAGCGTCATCAATCGGATTCTGATCTTCGTGTTCCGTAAATCGATATGCACCGCTTGGATCGAAGCTGCTGGCTTCTTCGAAGACCACATTTTGTGCGAGACCACGCAAAGTGGAACAGGCTTCATCATAGCCGGTACTGGTACTCAGATCATAGTCACTCGCAATAGCAACAATTAGAGAATCATCCAGCAGGGAGTGGAATGAATCCTAGCGATAAGATATCAGCATCTGAGGACGGTTGGGATTGTTTTGCCATAGTGCAGTGGAGAATATAGCTGTAGTAGAGAGTTCAAGGCAAAGGTTGGAAACAACTACAGCGATTAGAACAAGGAAAGACATACTCGTAATTGTTGCAGTTGTGAAGGGAGAGCAATATTACTCATTTGATAAGATACTGATTAATCGGGAGCATATTGGAGTAATAATTGTTGCAAGCTAGGCCAAACACTGGGTAAGATGCATCACTATAATCCGTCCATTAAGTACCTTTCTGGCTTAGTTCAAAGTTTATTACGAAATTACATAATACCATTACTTACTTAGTATTAGGCAACTTGGCAACTTACTATCATCTGTGTCTATGGCAGGGTAAAAACATTCTCTATGGGCTACCAAACATCACAAATCCTTATCACATCACAGAGAAATAACTTTGCTCTCACAATTGTAAATTTTTACTGCTTTTTTGAATTTTGCACTACAAGCCTAATTATCCCTTTTTATGTCATATTATCATGTGCTATTCATACCCAACTTTAATAGATTTTTCCCTTTTATAACTTTATGCCTGGTATGTTGAGGCGGAAACGTTGCCACCACGGCCAGTCCAGTTGACGTGGATGTCCTTGCCCTGGGGGTACTTGTCGCTAGCATGCTCAGGCTTGATGTGGAAAGTGTGAGCACCAAAGTAGTCACGCTGGGCTTGCAGCAGGTTGGCGGGGAGGTCCTTGGTGCGGTAGCCATCGAACCATGACAGAGCGGTGCCGAAGGCAGGAGTGGGGATACCGAGCTCAGCAGCCTGAGCAACGACGGCTCTCCAGCCGGGCTGAGCCTTGTGGATGGCCTCGTTGAAGAAGTTGTCGAAGAGCAGGTTCTTCAGGTCGGGCTCGTTGCGGTAAGCAGAGGTGATGTCCTTGAGGAAGACAGATCGGATGATGCAGCCACCACGCCACATGAGAGCGATGGAGGGCTTGTTAAGCTTCCAGTTGAACTCACGGGCAGCCTGTTACAAGTGTTGCGTTAGCTCGAGTCTCCAATCTTGGGTATATCTGTTCCTTCTTACCTCCTGCATGAGCATGAAGCCCTGGGCGTATGAGATGATCTTGGAGGCATACAGAGCCTGCTCGAGGTCCTCAAGGAACTGCTCCTTGTTACCCTCGAACTTGCCGCTGCCACGGGAGACATAGCGGAGCTTGGTGGAAGCCTCGGTACGCTCGTCCTTGATGCCAGACAGGCATCGGGCCAGGACGGCCTCGGCAATCAGGGTTACGGGCATGCCGAGGTCGAGGGCGTTGATAGCAGTCCACTTTCCGGTTCCCTTCTGGCCAGCCTTGTCCAGAATCTTGTCAACCAGAGCGGTGCCATCGTCGTCATTGAAGTAGAGGATGTCACGGGTGATCTCAATCAGGAAAGAGTCAAGAACGCCCTTGTTCCACTTGGCAAAGACGTCACCAATCTCCTTGCTGGAGAGGCCAAGACCACGCTTCATGATGTCGTACGCCTATGAGACGAGTGTCCGTTAGCTATGCGCACGGGGCATTGAAATGGAATTGAGCTTAGACGAGCTTACCTCGCAGATGAGCTGCATGTCACCGTACTCGATACCGTTGTGAACCATCTTGACGTAGTGACCAGCACCTTCGTCACCGACCCACTCACAGCAGGCCTCACCGTCGCTCTTGGCGGCAATAGCCTGGAAGATGTCCTTGATGTGAGGCCAGGCCTCCTCGTTACCACCGGGCATCAGAGAGGGGCCGAATCGGGCACCCTCCTCACCACCGGAGACACCGGAGCCGACGAATCGGATGTTCTTGGCGCTGAGCTCCTTGGTGCGGCGGTTGGAGTCGGGGAAGTGAGAGTTGCCACCATCGATGATGATGTCGCCAGCGTCGAGGTAGGGCAGGAGTCTCTCGATCCACTCATCGACGGCCTTACCAGCCTGGACGAGGAGCATGATACGGCGGGGCGACTTGAGGCTGTCGATGAACTCCTTGTCGTTGTGAGCGCCAACAACGGACTTGCCCTTGGCCTCGTTGGCCAAGAAGGAGTCGACCTTGGAGACGGTTCGGTTGTAAGCGCAGATTGTGAAGCCATTGTCAGCCATGTTGAGAATCAGGTTCTGTCCCCTGAGGAGTGGTCATGTCAGCAAACACGGCGGCCAATTATGACCCGGAGGGGAGGTTGCAACTTACATGACAGCAAGGCCGATGAGGCCAAGATCCGCGCTTGGAACATTGTCAGCATTTCTTGAAGCTTGACCGGGAGTGGAGGAATCAGGTTGCGAGGCGCCGCCAAGCTTGATGTTTGCGAGGCGAGCGCTACCTCAGGACCATGAGCAGAGTGCAGAGAAAGTAGGAAAAATGCAATGGCGAGTGAGAAAGAAGCTCGGGAGACGGGAGACGCGGGGAGACACAGAGCAAGCATCAAGCAGCTGCCGGTAGCTACCGGCAGCTACCATCAACAATGATTCCCGCAGCCATCATCCCACCGCAGCAAATCCCAGAGCTCGACACCAAATACAAGAGACTACAAATCTCGCCTCAATTGCGTGCGGGAATTGAGGTCATCCCAAGGTGACGAGCTGGGCTTTTTCAGGGCGGGGTGGTGGGGTAATGAATGACAAAAGACAAGGAGGGGTTGAGTGAGGCAGGAGGAGTAGGAGAGGAAAAAAAGAAGCTGAGGCCGGAGACTTACACTGGGCCAGACATTGCGAGGGTTGTGTAGCAGCAAAGGGGTATTTTTTAGGATTCGAAAAAGCAACGGATGTTGATTCCAATAGATGGATTGCGGATGGAGAGAATGGAGGAGAGAATGGAGGAGAGACGAGGGACAGATAGGGAGGGACGGAGGTAAGTAAATATAGTGGGATGGTGGGATGCATCTTAGTGGGAAACACGGGGCCCGGAACGGGGATGCGCGCCCAAGCTTGGAGGCGCCCAGCAACGCCCAAGAAGCAGGAGGTTTGGGTTTGGGTTTTGGCTTGAGAACTCGGCGTGTGATTGTGATTGGCCGAGGGCGACGCATCGTCATCGCTGCTCTTTTACCTCATACAAATGTCTAACCAGTCTATAACGCTAGCCACGTTTTATCTCCATGCTCGTGGCTTGAAGGTGCTACAATACGAGTATGTACAAGGCCATGCTATTCCATTACTTACTACTACTGCACGGCACTTTTCGTCTCGTCTTTGTCTGGCATCGTCTTGTCTTGTATCGTCTGGTGATACCCTCGGTGCGGGCAAATCCCACCGAAGACGCACTGTTACTTGTTACGGTACTACTCCCTCTCCTATGGGAACTTTCCCGGGGGCCGCTGTGGGAAATTCCGCATTTCCGTCCGCCGTGTCTCTCTCTTCCACCGTCTTCTATATTAGCCCCGAGACAAGGCACCTATTGCTGCATCGGGACAATCCATCCATATGAGCGCAATAATCGTATTTGCTTGCCCCACCTCACGGCAGCTATCATAAGTTACCTCTCCGGCTGCCTCGGGCGGGGCGTCATTTGAGCCCGGAGGCTTTCAACACACGCAAAGCATCATCGTACATAAGGTAATCAATGACTGTACAAACCTACCGGGCTTGGTAAACGGTGCTGCCCAAGTACATGAGCAATAGCTTAGTAGCCCTGCCTAGCTCAAACTCCAAATGCTGTGCCCACCTGTATGTTCTAGCCTGCTTGCTTACAGTGCGCAACCCTCAGCCTTCTTCTCCCCCTGCCGGCATCTCCTACTCAGAAGCACGATAATCCCCAGTTTTAAATGGGGATCAAAAGACGCTTTTCTCCCCTGTAGGAACTTTCAAGACGAAGGCGATTTGCGAGCCTCAACAAACCCCAGCAGCCAACCCGGCGCCACGGGAGCGGAGGGATCCATGTTAGTCGCCTCTTGACTGAAACGTCGCTTGTCAAAGCACTTGTCGTCTCAAATGGATGTCATCTGATTCTCCAAAACATTCGCCGGCCAAGCAACACGGAGGATTTATTATACCGTGCATGAAAGCGTTCGCACTCTAATGGAAATAAATCATCCTCAACGGCTTGGAAATTCAAGTCTTCTTCGGCCCCACCTTGAAGAGTGAGGTAATTGGTAATACTCCGTCCATTGCCTATTATTGTGGCTACGGGCCGAAACAGTCGACACCTAAGCCACGGGCATGACTGGTAAGGGGGGTGAAGAGGAGAAAAGTGCCCGGTGATGTGGGATTATGATGTTCATGATTTGCGTACTTTTATTCGCCCTGTCCACAGAGAGGGAAACTCCAAGAGCCATCAGCATATATTACCCATACTCAATTGCCGTTGGAAGAGTTCAATAGCCTCTTTCAGGTTGGGCAACCAGCCTTTCATTTGCCGCTTTGCTACCCGTTGCAATAGCCTACGTGTAGCATAATACTTTACAGCAGAGGCCGGGCAAGTTCTCATCCTCTTCTGCTTAGTGCCCACCAACACCAGATTAGTGCCCCATATGTCTGGTGTGGTTTCGCCTTGCCCGCCTTATGATATAATGGTACAGCTCGGGATAAGTTGCTGGATGTATAGGTAAGCAAGCGGGTGACAGGTGAAAAAATAGGAAACGCAAAGTAAACATGTGCGTACGATAGAGTAATAAGGGCACCATTTGAGATGGGTTACACGTCAACTGAAGGTGTGTATTATTGACTGCCGTATGCCGATAATATGCCCCGTTCCCTTTTCTCGATAACCGCTTGCCAAGCCTCGACGGGTAGCCTCCGCCGTGAGAAGTCTCCAACTATCCAGTGGGCCAATCAGAGATTCCGCTGAAGTACCTTGCGATAAGCGAGTGAGGTGCAGAAGCCTTAAGGAGGGCTTATAAAGCAATAGTATAGGTAAGGACACTATTGGAAATACAAGGTTATTATAATAAGAAAATTGAATTATATTTTTAATAAATTAAAAATAGAAAAGTAAATAAAGTTAATTAAATTAAATTAAATAAAATAAAATAAAAATATAAAATAATTAATTTTATTTAATTAATTTTATTATTTTATTATTTTATTATTTTATTATTTTATTATTTTATTATTTTATTATTTTATTATTTTATTATTTTATTATTTTATTATTTTAT